ATTAGATAAGGGTTGGCGGGGGGGGGGGGGGGGGATGAGGGCAGAGTACCGGGAGCATTTAGGAGACTCTCTGGATACACACACACACACACACACACACACACACGTGTACATATGTACATATACATACATATTGAACAGTTTTGAAGAAAAAGGAAGGAGAGGGAATATTAAGGAAGAGAATGGCAGACATGGTCATGGAGACAGAAAAATACTGGTAGGAGCAGAAAACAGAGTTTTTAGGTTGGAGCATTACTCTTCAGAGAAATGGGGCTTAAGGACAAGTGGAATGTTAAAACCAAACAACAGAGCAGCTTAGGTTTGATATGACAATTAAGAAAGAGCTGCAGGAACTGGATTGCCGGCAAAGAAGAAAGGCAGAGGGAGTCCCACAGTCATTGCCCCCCAACCTGCCATGCAGCTGGGCGTCTTTCTTCCAGAAATTTTCTTTCTGAAATTCTCTCCCTTTCTTGTTTTTGGGATAAGACTCTCCTAGTCTTTTCCCCTAACTCTCTAGGTGCTCTTCAGGCCTTTGTGTTCTTTTTAAACAGATAGATAATTATTCATAATTATAGCCAACAGCTATATGGGTTATCAAGAATGGTGGCTAGCACTTTGTTATCTCAGTTAATGCACCCAGCCCTGTGAGGTATTCTTATCATCCCCATTAAAATGAGAAGCTAACTCAGCAGTTAGTAAGTTGTCACAGAGATTATGGAATCCAAGTATATGCTCTGAATTACTATGCATGAAGCTTGTCACTAAGATTTTGGCATTATTCCGAGTTCTAGCCTTCATTCCTTTCTTCTCAAGGTCAAATCTTTGTGTCTGCAATTTCTTTTACCTTCTCTTACAGATCTGTGTTCCTCACAGTGTTTTTATTCTTGCTGATTTAAAAAAAATTTTTTTTCTTTATTGATTATTTAGAGAGAGAGGAAGGAAGAGGAATAGAGAGATAGAAACATCAATGAGAGAGAACATCGACTGGCTGCCTCCTGCATGTCCCCACTGGGGATCGGGCCCACAACCTGGGCATGTGCCCTGACCAGGAATCGAACCGGCGACCTCCGGGTGCATGGGTCAATGCTCAACCACTGAGCCTTGCTGGCTGGGCTATTCTTGCTGTGCCTTTAAAACTAGCTGCTGCCCTGACCGGTTTGGCTCAGCGGTTAAAGCATCCACCTGCGGTCCGGAGAGACCCGGGTTCGGTTCCCGCTGAGGGCACGCACCTCGGTTGCAGTTTGTCCCCGGCCCTGGTTGGTCGTGTGGGTGGCAGCCACTCGATGTGTCCCTTTCACATCGATGTTTCCCTCTCTCTCTCTCTTCCTGTCTCTCCCTCCCACTCTATCTGTGCAAAAAATGGAAAAATGTCCTCGGGTGAGGATAAAAATAAAAAATAAAAAAATAAAAATAAAACTAGCTGCGTTTCCAAACTGGAGACTCAACTAAGTAGACCAAGCAGAAGTACACTGAAATGATGCTAGTATTTTTCTCAGTGAATCCTATCAGGTGGTGCATGATTTCTTCTTCTTTTTTGTAATTGTCACTCATGGATATGTTTTTTATTGATTTGAGAGAGAGAGAGAGAGAGAGAGAGAGAAAGAGAGAGAGAGAGAGAGAGAAACATGTCTCCCATATGTGCCCAGACCCACCACCCGCAACCTGGGTATGTGCCCTGACTGGAACCCGAACCTGCCATCTTTTGGTGTAGGGATGATGCTCCAGACTACTGAGCCACACGGGCCAGAGCAGGTGGTGCATGATTTCAATTGTCCCATTACTGACAGCACTTACTTGTTTGATTAAGGTGGTGTTTGCGAGATGTCACTATAACATTACTCTAATTCTCTTAGTAATTAATAAGAATTTTGTGGGGTGATACTTCAAAACTATGTAAATATTCCAGTCCCTTTCAAACTTTTAATTTACGTTTATTTACATCTGTATGGTTTCCTATGCTATTCAATACATTATCGTTTTTAATTCTGAAGCTCAATTTGTCCCAGATTTGGCCAGTGGGACACAAGTTGGCTTGTGTCCTTTCGACATGCTTCGTTATTCTTTGAGCACATCCAGGCTCATCCTGTACTTTCTCTAGTGCTTGAATCAACCATTTTGCCAAGAAGAAAAAAATGAAGAGGAGAATGGTATTTAGAAGCCAAGATCTGGGCTTGATGTGCTCATTGTTTTGTTATTACTCCCAGACCCTCTCAGTAGACAGAGCATGTATGTACTTATACACCTGTATCTTTTTCTAGAAACAGAAATAAATTGATACCTTCATTACCAGTCCACCACCAAAAGGTTCATTCTAGTTATCCTTCCATATTTGGTACTCTTCCTCAACAGTGATAAATCTGGCTCCTATTTTTCTTAATACAGTAGTCCCCTCTTATCTGTGGGGGATATGTTCCAAGATATCCTGAAACCATGGATAGTTCCAAACCCTATATATACTATGTCTCCTCTCCACTGTACATACATATCTGTGATAGAGTTTATGTTCTCTTTAGCATGTCCAAATTTCCAGCATCACTACTCTTGAGTGTTAGGGTCATTATTTAGTGAAATAGGTTACTTGAAAACAAGCACTGTGATGGCAAGACATCAAATCTGATAACCACGATAGTACCAAATGACTACGGGCAGGTAGTTGTACAGTGTGAAGAGCTGGACAACGGATGCTTCACGACCCCGGCGGGATGAAGTGGATGGGTGAGATTTCATCACACTACTCAGAACAGTGTGCAATTTAACACTTATGAATTGTTTATTCCTGGGATTTTCAATGTAATATATTCAAATCGAGGTTGGCCGCAGGTAATCGAAACCGTGGAAAGGAAAACTTCGTACAATGGGGGCTGGTTACTGTATATTTACTTAGTGATCAATTCTTTTGTATGTAGCCAATCTCCCATCACCGCTGCTGCCTACTCCTCTGCCAGGCTGTACTCTTCTCCCTGTCCATGCTGATATCCCAAGGCCATGCTGCTATCTCCAGGAAGGTGAGGAGAACGCCCCTCACCAGGTGGCTTCTCTATGTGAATGCCCTCCTCACCAGTGTCCATCATGACAGCTTTGGCTGCCTCCCCTTCCCTGACACGCTATTGTGCTGTCTCCTGATAACATACATCTCCTACAATGTACTTTTAAAATACATTCTCTCTCTTTAAAAAAACTTTTTTTCTTTATTGATTTTAGAGAGAGAGGAAGGGAGAAGTAGGGAGAGACAGAAACATTGATGAGAGAGAACATCGACTGGCTGTCTCCTGCATGCCCCCATTGGGGATTGGGCCCACAACCCAGGGATATACCCTGACCGGGAATTGAACTGACAACCTTCTGGTGCATGGGATGACACTCAACCACTAGGCCATACCAGCCGAGCAAAAACACATTATCTCTTTTGCTTTTTATAAAACCTCTGTGAAGTAGTTATGGAAGGTATTATTATTCATAATTTGTCTCTGAACAGGTCTTCAAGGATCTAGGTTCAAGAGAAATGGAATGACTTGCCCAACACTGCACAGCTTATATAAAGCAAGCTCCTTCCACCCCACCATTCCGCTATGCCTCTCAACAAATGCCAAAACTACACTTTTCTTTTTTCTCCAGTAGAAATATGTTTTGAGCTCATTTACTTTGTAATCAACTCTGACTACCAGGTGTTTCTTTTCCTGCATAATATGTGTCAAGCGGTGGTGTAGAAAAATGATTGGATACAGAATTAAGGAAACTTAAACTTTAGCTTCAGTTCAGATCTGAGACTTTAGGCAACTTACTTTCCTCAATTATAAACAGGTTAGAATAGACCAGCGGTTCTTTGCCTGAGGCGGGTGAGATGGAAGCCACAGGGACTTTCTCAGTGATAGAAATGTCCCTGAAATTCAGGTACAAGTACTTGATTCAATAATCCTTAACATCCCTTCCAATCTGCGTACAGTACTTGATTCCAAGGCAACCTCTCTGTATTCAATATTTGTTAGCTATTTTTATTCTTATCAATCTTATCCTTCATTCAAAAGTGTTTATTAGTGGTCTATTATATGCCATGAACCATATTATTCGGTTTTTGAAGTACCTCTTTTCCGAGGTGTCACCGTCATTAATTTTATCCCTATCTTCCAAACTTGGGACTCGAAAGCATTCGCATCTAAGTCATGTAATTTATAAACTCGCGGGGTTCCTCTAGTCCTTTTTCTACCAACCACATTTCAAGGCTGGTCCCTCTCAGCTCACAGACATTAATGAACTCCTCTTGGGAGCAACCTCCATCACCTAACAAGCTTCATCAACACTTTCATTTCCTAGCTGGTCGGTGGGAATTCGGGTGGGTGGTTTTCGAAGTTTAAACGCCCCCCCCCCCAATACACTCCTGCACCCCAACAGGGCATAACCAGCTCCGAGCACTGTTAGCCCTGGGCTCGGCCCCACGGAGGTCGCGGGGCGGCTGCTAATTGCTGTAAGATTCTCCCCCGTCGGGAGGTGGCCCTGGCGGGGGCTCTAACTTCCTCGGTTCCCCTCCTCCGAGCAGAGCGGCGTGCGCGGTTCGCGGCGCAGGAACTTCCCCGGCCTAGCTTTCACTCCGAAACGCCGAAGCCCGCTCCTCGCACGCGCCCGCCGCCCTCCTGGGGCCGCGCGCCCCGCGCCACCGCGCGTGTCCTCAGGGAGCCTCGGCCCCCTCCGCCTCCTCTGCCCCGCGTGCCCTTCAGCCGGTCCCTCCGCCCGCCCGACGCCGGGGGAGTGGGGCGCGCGCGCAGGCGGCCAGACGACGTGCGCGAGACGCACGGCCCCGCGCGGAGCGCCGGAAGGAGCGGGCCGGGGCCCCGCGCGTCGTGTGCGCGCCGTTCCCCCCGTCGCCCCGCGCGCGCGCGCACTTAGGCGCCGCCGCCGCAGCCGCCGCCGCCGCCTCCTCGGCTGCTGCTCCGGCTGCTGCAGGAGGCGGCGCTGGCTGGCGGCTGCGCTCGCTCCAGTCGGCAAGCGGAGCAGCGAGCGAGCGTGTGTGTTTTTTAAAGATGGCCGGAGCGGTGGCGGCGGTGGCCGCGGGAGCAGTAGCGGGAGCTGCCGCGGCAGCCGTGTCGGTGGCGGCTCCGGGCCGGGCCTCGGTGCCCCCGCCGCCCCCGCCGGTGTACTGTGTGTGCCGGCAGCCGTACGACGTGAACCGCTTCATGATCGAGTGCGATATCTGCAAGGACTGGTTCCACGGCAGGTAAATAAAACCCCTCCAGCCCCGCCGCCGCCGCCGGCCACCGGCCAACCGCCGCCGCCGCGCCGGCCGCCTGCATCCCCTTCCGCCCGGCCGCCGCGCCGCGCCGAGCGCCCAGCGGCCCGGGCACCGAGCCTCCGGCCCGGGCAGCGGGACGCACGGGGCCCCGGGCTCGCCGGGCGCCGAGCGGGCTGAGGGGGGCTGGTGGGATCGCCCGGCCCGGCGAAGAGTCGCCACAACAAACGGGAACAAAGGGGGCCGGCGGAGAAGTTGGCAGGAGGAGACCGGGGCGAGGGGACGCGGCCGGGGCAGGCGCCGGCGCAGGTGGCGGGCGGAGCGCCGGCCGGGCCCGCCGCCCCTCGCGGCGCTCGCAGCCCGGCCGCCGCCCCGCCCGCCCGGCCACTCGCCCGGGGCTCCCGGCCCGGAGTCGCCGCCCGGCCGGCCGCCTTGTCCCGCTGGCCGCCGCGCCTGCCTTCTCGGCAGCGACCGGGTCGCCTAGCCCAGGGTGTCCAGATATCGCCCTCATCCTCTCCTCCGGCGGGTCCCCGTCGCGCCCCCTTCCCCGGGTGTTTATCAAACTTCCTCGGCCGGGGGCGCTGGGACGGGGGCGTCGGCAGCGCCAGCCCGGCGGGGCTCCGCGGAGTAAACAGAGCAACAGATGAGGCACTCTCCGGGACTTAAAAGATGCCAGTCGGAAGTTTGGGGCCGGGGGTCCCGGGCCGGGCGGCAGGTCCAATTGGACGGTGACCCCCACCCACAGCCCCAGTACACCCCGTCCTGGCGGGGGCGGAGCGGATGGAGTGGGCTGCGGGGCCCGAAGGGACAGTCTGGTCCTAAACCCCCCGCGCCGCCCCCGCGCCGCAGCTCAAACTTTACAAAGAGTGAAATTTCCCGTCGCCCGAGGGGCTGGCGACACCCAGACGGCGCGGGGCTGGCGCCCGGGGGCCTGGTGCGGGCCAACTTTCGCCGGCCGGTGGGTACTTTGGGTCGGGTGGCGGGGGCGGCGAGCGTCACCCTGTGCCTAGCCGCCGCCTGCGTTTCGGGTTTGACGTTTGTGAGAGCTCGGGCCGCCTCCGCCGCCAGGCCGCCGACTCGTGTGTTTTGTAATCAAAGTGTGAGGCTAATAAAGGGCGGCGCCACAGCCTCTTGACTCCGGCGTGGGAGGGATTCGCAGGCATTTAAACAAAGAAACTAGTTGGGGTTGGGCTCCCAAAGTCCTTATTTGGGTGTTGTGGGAAAGCCTGCGGTCACCTTTAGGTGAAGCAGGTTTCCCGAGCACCGTTTGGTGTTGAATCTTGGCGAGAGTTTGCTCATGGTTAATAGCAGATATGGTGACTGTGATTGTAGGAAGTGTCCTTTGATTGACAGCAGGACATTTAAATACAGCCTCCGCTCCCCCCTCCCCAATTTTACAGAAACACTACACGACCAGGCCAGATGTCTTAGTCTCCCTCTACTGGCCCTGGGAGAGAAAACCATGTAAATTACAGCGTTCATTTCAGTGTTTAGTGCTAGGTACAGTTAGTTTTACTTAAATTTCAAGTACCGTTAGTTTTATTTAATCAGTTTTCAGTTTGCACAGTTCTGACAGCAGCAACAGAGAAAAAAATTCAACATATTGTCACTGTATTAGATAATCTTTAACAATCTGGTCTATGCTTGGGGAATATTACTACATTCTTGCTACATGTAATTAAGAATAAATGATCCAAAGTTCTCTTTCATTACTCCACCGATATTTTTCTGCATTTCGATGATACGGAAAACTGAAATTTGAACATACCAAATCTTGCCAATTCTATTTCTACATCTTCTGCAACCAGAGGAGAGACCAGAGGAGAAATTATCCAGAAATCCAGGTTACATATAAAATAGCCAGAATCCGTGGTGATTATGTAAACACTTATTTTTTACAGAACTATTTTAGCTGCATAAGAAAGTTTTTCATTGTGAAATGTAGAGATTTGATAGGTTAAATTTTAGGCTAGAATTTTATTTATCTTAATTTGGGCCACTTAACACTATAACCATAAAAAGCGGCAGGTAGTTTATGGAGACTTGTAATGCATTTAAGTATGAATCTGAAAATAGAAGTTGAAGGGACAATAAAGAGGGCATATGTGAAGAGAGAGCAAGGCCAAAACAAGCATACTCTGTTTTGTTACATAGATTTGTGTGACTTCATATCTGTGGAAGTGACTCTGAAATATATTTTTTGAACCCAGCTTTTTGTTGTTATTTTTTTGACCAGCAGTCCTTGAGAATTTAATGTGGTTCAGGTGTCAGAAATTAGAAAATTTGGTGATAACTGCTCCACCATGCAAAAACAGTATCTTAGTAGCAAGTTTAATTCTTAATGAAGTATTGGTAATTTGGGGTCTATATGTTTTTTGTGATCAATATTTACTTTAATGTGCTTATTGTACCATGACATAAATGATTGTTATTTTTTGAACACAGCAAAATATTCCTTGTGTATTAATTATTAAACTTGCTTATGTGAGAATTGGCCACTAAAGTACTGAGGTGTAGCTTTCATTCCCATGCTCAGCTTTCCCTTGGTTTCCAGGGGTGGTGCATTTGCAGAAAAAGAAGAGAGAGGAAGTGGGTGGTTACAGAGGATTGCCTTTATCTGGATAATTTCTTGATAATTTTATTATTCAAGTAGCTTTTAAAAAACAACAAATTTTGATGTAAAATTAGGTTTACTCTGCCTGGCATTTCTGACATCTGAAAATCTGAAAAGTTTTCGCCCTAATTTGTTCTGACAGAGAAGAAGGGTTCTTCCTTGATGCTTTTCAACTATGCAGCAGGGTAGATGGAACCAGCCTCCTCCAGGTTTGAGGCTATTGTACTTTGACTGTATCCGTGGTGTTCAGGAATTCCCATTCCTCAGTCTGCCTAAGCCTTTTTTTTTTTTTTTAAATAAGAGGGGAAGGAACACTTGCTGGGTACAATGTATAATTGATACCCTAAGGGCCCTGAGCTGAGGAATTAACCGGATTTTCTGGGAAGGTTCCTTCTAAATTAGAGATGGAGTTCTTTCTTAGTCCTACCCCTGAATGTCTAGGCTAGATGTCTTTCCATAATACAGTTAATATCTATACAAAACTGCATCAGTGCACTAATTAAATTGTATTTTAATGTCCTTGTCTCTCTAGTAGACACTTTGTTATACTTTTTAGTCACATATTCTTTCTGACTGACAAAAGTAAAATAGAAAAATGTGAAGTATAGAAAAGTATTAAGAATGGAAAGTCCCCATGTCCTCCAGAGAGTACCACTATTTTAACATTTAGGGTATATGTGTGTATTAAAAACAACATGGAATTCTTTTTATGTATTCCACTGTTAACCTGTCTTCTTTCATTAATATATACTTTTTTTCCCTATATCTTTAAAGTTCTTTGAAAACATTTTCAGGGGCTGTATGTTTAATTTCACAAGAGCACAATACATTTTAAAACCATTCCCTTCTTGCTATTTTTTTTTTTTTTTTTTTACCTTCTTTACTACTTTTTCTTGTATTTCCTAATGATGATGGATGGTTGACATCATTTAAACAAACCATTATGAGCATCTCTGATTATTTCCTTGGAATAAATCAAATGAGTTAATACATGTAAAACACTTAGAAGAAGATCTGGCATATGTGAATACTCAATAAGAAATTCCTTGAAGTAGAATTATTAGTCACAGGGCACAGATATTTTTAGGCTTCTTGTGCCTATAGCCAGATTGCCCTCTAGAAAGGTTTTTCCAATTTATACTCTCACCACCAGTACCCACTTCTAGTTTCCAGCAGCCTCGCCGATCTAAGGTATTATTAACCCCATCACCCCAAAACCCAGCCAAGCAAAAAGACTTTGCCAATCTGCGGATGAGTATTTCCACCAAAAAGACATACCCAAGATAATCTGTAGAACTATTTATATTATCCCCAAATTGTAACAATCTAAATGTCATCGACATTAGATTGGATAAATTGTGGTATATTTATAAAATGGAATTCTCATCAGTGATTTTTAAAAAAGAATGCACTATTGATGCATACAACAGTATGGGTGACTCTCACAGATATAAAGTTGAATAAAAGAAGCCAAACACAAACATATGTACTGTTTGGTTCTACTTATATGAAGTTCAAGTTCAGGCATAGAGGGGTGAGAGAAGTCAGGCTAGTGCTTACCTCTGGGGCACACTGACTGAGAGAAGGCCCAAGGGAGTTTCTGAGGTTCAGCAAATGTTCTCTATCTTGATCATGGGTGGTGGTTACATGATTGTATACAAATGTAGAAATTCACTGAGCTGTGTGTGCACTGAAGATTTTTTAAAACTTTATTTTAATGTCTGAAGTGTACTTCAGTCATTTAAATGTTAAAAAAATTATAAATTCACCAAATTGGTAGCTGACATACAGTATTTTGTAATTTGATTTTGTTTCTCGTTCCTGATTTTCATGGGATTGCTGGGCGCTGTTCTTGGTGCTGGGAATATAGCAATTAACAAAACTAAGTCCTTGCTGTCTTGTAACTTATATTCTAGTGTGGGGGAGTGGGAGAGGAGGGGATAGATAAACATATATATATGACAAAAGAAGAGAAAAATTGCATTATGGGACAAGAGGGCTGGGGGCAGTATACGACTACTTTCATATTGTGTGAGTATGGAGGGCCTTGAGAAGGAGACATTTGAAACAAGCATATTTTGGATTTTACGCAGAGCAGATGGTATATTTTGAGGAATAAACAATTTGATTTAACCTTTAAAAGGTTCATTCATTTTAAAAGTTTGAGTCAGTTTGGGTAACTTATAAATGTTATATATTAGTTTTTATTTCTGAAGCTTGAATAAATGAAGAGCTTAGTTTATGAGAATGGAAGAATTTTATCTGTAATAATGCTATTGGTAGGAGTTTCTGAGCTACTCTGGAGTCCCAGGAACTCAGTCAAACACTTATTGAATGCTTTATACCAAGTGCTAGTCACTGTTTTAATTGCATT